AGTGTATTTTCTTATACTGATCCTTCCCTTCCTGCCCACTCCCCGTCTCTTCTTCCTGAGCAGCTTTCCTCTGCCATGTCCTACAACAGTGAGGTACTGCCTTTTCAGGCCAAGCAATGGAGCCATCTAACCAGGGACTGAAACCTCTTTCTTCCTCTAACTTGTTTTTTCTTAAATACCTGTAATGGTAATCAAAAGTTGACTAACACAAAGAGACTAACAGATTTGTACCTAATAAGGTACAAATGGAAATGTGGTAGACAAAAGTATATAAAGTAGTGTCACAGGGGAATAGGAAGTAGGATGCTATAAACACAAGATTAGTTTTTTCTTATCAAGGCACTAATCTTCATGGAATTAATTAATAGAATATAAGTAATAAAATGAAATAGAGAAATCATATAACAGTGAGAAGAACATAGTAAAAAAGACAAAAAAGAAAAGAGTCAGTTTTGAAAACCAAAATAAATGAAAAGAAAGGAAGATTATCACAAAGAAATTTGAAATAACTGGAAAAGAAATGAACCATTTTAAAGTATAAGAGGTTGACTAGTAGTATAGCTCAGTATGTGTAAGGCCTGGGATTTATCCCCAGCATCAAATTATAAAAATAAATTAAAAAGGGAGATTAATAAGGAAAAGAAAATCATTTTTAAAAATTCCAGGTCAACATGGAAAAAATTGAGAACATTGAGAAATACTACTACCATAAATTATACTCTTGCTCACATCCCGCTCAGGCAATAAAATTTGGGTTTCCTCTTCATGTAACATGCTGGCTACAGAATAAAGCTAAGAAAGAGAAAACTGCATGAAGAAACCACAAGACACAGGAAGTAATTTTAGAAAGCAGGGATGGGATGGCTCTTCGACTTTAGGGGTGAGCTTCCACACTGGAAAAAAGAGTGTGTGAAAGCCTACATTTGCTTTATTTATATGAGGGAATATCAAAAGTTTTCCATAAAATATTCTCTTCCAGTTTAGGTGGGAGGTGGGCTGTCCGGTTTTCAATAGGTTATGCCCAACTCCAGAGCTAGGAGAGAGGTCTTCCTACCCCAGGGAAAACAAAAGTCACATACATTGCGCAATACATTGTGTGGGAGGGGCCACAAAATCGTTTGCAATGCCAAACCTAAATCTTCCTGGGGAAAAGCCTAGTAAAGATGCTCAAATAAGCTCAAATAATTTACAGGTGACAACCCACATTATACAAAAATTAAGTAATGGGTATAATACCAATATGTATGATTTTCTATGAATTAAAAAAAATTACTTGGTAAATTTTTACTGACCTCTTGTTTACTTTATAGTCCCAAGTCTATCGGTTCATAACCTTTTAAATTTCTAAGTGCATTAGATGTACTTTAATAACATTTCATTAATCTCCTTTGCACTATTTTCTGTTCTTTTTTCCTATTAAAGTCAATAATTTATTTAATGCAAATATAGACAGGGAACAAAGATGACACTGGTATTAAAAACTAAAGAGGAAGACAATTCAAATTGTAGGTGATGTTTAGAGAAGAGTTTAAAGAAGTCGGTTAGTGTGTACAAAAGTGTAGGACCCTTATCTGTGACAATCCAGGAATATTGTCTAATGAGTCTAATTTTAAGTCCAATAATAATAATAGAAGCATTTGAAGAAAATAAATCTGTAGCCTAAGAACATAAAGGGATTATTATTAAATGATGGGCAGCAGTGAGCCAGAGAACCTTAAAATTTCAACTGCCTTATGTGGCTTATATTGGAGAAGTAACTATCTTAACTAGTAAGGATCACTTCTAAAAATTATCTTTTAATCTTAATTTTTATTGTAGAAAGATATTATATGTCAGATGTAGAAAAATCTAGAAATACAGCTGGCCAAAATGACCCATACCTGTAAACACAGCTATTTGGGAAGCTGATGTAGGGGTATTGCAAGTTCAAGGCCAGCCTGGCCATATTAGTGAGACCTTGTCTCAAAACAAAAAATAAAAATAAAAAGTACTGTTGGTATAGTAGCTCAGTGGTAGAGAACTCTTAGGTTCAATCCTAGTACTGCAAAATGAAAAAAAAAAATAAAAGAAAGAAAAGAAAAAAGAAAAAAAAGAAATAGCCAAAATACAGTTTTCTTTCATACATATAAAAATAATCTTTTCTGAAAGTTTTGCTTTCTGCCTTACTTTCTAAATAATATATTGCAATCTGCATGTTCTTAAATATTCAATAAAATTTAGTTATCAAAAAAATTTAAGTAATAGGGGGAAAAGTACATTATAGGCCATATCAATAATACAGAATTTTGTAGTTTCTGGCCAATAAATATAATAGTCTTCAAAATAGCAAATTATCTTATAATTCTGCATGCAGTTTTCACTATAACAAATGTACTGGGGAAAAAAATCTTCAGAAAAAAAAGATATAATGATGTTTTGTGTCAAATTAACCCAAATACCTCAGCTTTTTCTATTTCTTATCTTTTCTAGAAGCTCTGTGATTTAAATTTTTAAGAATATACTTAGAAGTCATCAAAGGGGTCCTATTTACTCAGATCAATAAACTGATTGAAGTGCAATACATTCAAAATAAGAGGAAAATACTCAGTGTATTTTGAACTTCTCAAATTAATACATTTAATCTGGGAGTAATTCATTACTATGGAATAAAAAAGATGGTAAATATACTGTTTCATAGATAAGAGTAACTAATACAATTTTTCTCATAAAGAACTAGTCTAGAAAAAACACAGATGATTTTTTTTTAATTTTTTTGTAGTTGTAGATGGACCGAATACCTTTATTTTATTTGTTTATTTTCATGTGGTGCTGAGGAATGAACTCGAACTCGGTGCCTCTCAGGTATGAGGCAGGCACTCTACAATTGAGCTAGAGCCCCAACCTCCACAGTTGACTTTTGTTAAGGATTTTCAATGAGAAAAAGGAGCAGGTATCCATATGCTTAAAACACAATAGATTGACAAACTGTTTCTGGAAAGAGGGGGATGCAGGAGTATATGAAAACTCTATACTTTCCATCCAGTTTTTCTGTAAGCCTAATAGTGATCTAACAAAAAATCCACTAGTTTAAAAAAATTACAACATAAAAAACCAAGGCATAACAAAATGCTATCTAATATATAAAGCTCTGGGTTTGATCTCTACTACAGTTTTTAGTTTCCACTTGGAAATTTATTTTATACCTATTCTATGTGTGGATCAGGAAAGTCTCCTAAAGGTTCATGTGTTGAAGATTTATTCCTCACCTATTGGTTACTATTGGGAGGTAGTGGAAACTTGAAAATGGGGTCCACTTGGAGGAAGTAGGTCACTTGGTCTATATCCCTGAAGGGTCTACCTTTTTTATTTTTTAACCTTTATTTATTTATTTTATGTGGTGCTGAGGATTGATACCAGTGCCTCACATGTGCTAGGCAAGTGCTCTACCACTGAGCTACAACCCCAGCCCCCTGAAGTGTCTATCCTATCCCTAACCCCCTTTTGCTTCTGGGTCACCATGAGATGAATAGCTTTGCCCTGCCACATGCTCCCCACCATAATGTTCTATCTTCCCTGAGGCCCAAAGTGTTGGGGCCAAGTAACCATGAACTGAAACCTCTGAAACTATGAACCAAAATATATTTCCCCCTTTAAGATGGTTACCTCAGGTATTTTCTCACAACAGAAAGCTAACACACCTATTTTCTCCTAAGAATGAAAATAATATGACTACTGATGTAATTCTGAAAAAAAATAGTAAATTTTGAAAATCAAAATTGTCAGTAGTCCAATTGCACAGAGATAATCAAGTAATTTTATAGAATCTTGACCATATATAAAAAGTTTAAATAACAAAATATTGTATATATTTTTACATAAATACTGTGAACATTTTGCGTTACCACTAAACATTATGAAATTTGTAAAAAATTAATTGCATTTAAAACTAGGAAGAGATAGTTTTGTTAATACAGTAAAATAACAAAAGTGGGAGAAAACAACTTAGAGAAGACAAATAATCATAGTATTCATTTTGGAGATACATGACTATAGTATATAGAAAGAGTGAAAAAGACCCTGACTACTCACTAGTAGGCAATATCAAGTTTGAACCAAACTCTCTAAGACATACTAGTTTGCCAAATAAAATAGAACAGCATGTAGAAGGCAAAACCTTATCTAAAATGTCCCAAAACAAGTAAAAACATTATTTCAATTCTTATAATCCACTATGGTATTCCTTCAAAATTCCTTTATTTTTCATAAACCTTACCATAGAGTCACAATATGAGTCCTCTCAAGGTTATTTTGTTATTAATTTTTTTATAAAACAAGAGAAAAATACTACTGACATAAAATTACATCCATTTTCCTAACATGATGTTAACTTTTCCTGGTATCACCACTAAGCTACCAGTTAATATATAAGAATTTAGGTTCTTGTACTCATGTATTTTTATGATTTTATACCAGAGGGAATGTAGTAGAAGGGCAAAAATAAAATTGGTTGCTATCAATTTTTTTGAACCAGTATGACTCATACTAGAATGATGCCATTCCTCAGAGCAGCTCTCCTTTTCTGAGACTCTAATTCAGAATAATATGCAGAAAAAACCACAGTAGATAGTCCATAAACATTCGACAATCACCCAGATTTTTAAGAGCTACATGTTACCAAACTTTCTTATTTAAACCATCATCTACATATATCTTCTCAAGTGCTGAAAAAATTAGAAGAAAAAAGTATTTTTATAAAACTATCAATTATGCATACATTCACCCATTCACCTAACCAACCACATCTCGAATCTATTATACACTATTAGGTTTGAGTGGAGAAAATGCTGAAATATTTTATGTAATTTGTTTGATTTTACTCAAATTAAATGAGAAAACTAGTAAACAATCAACAGTATAATAACTGTTTCTAATACCTAACAAACAATTTTATCAAAAATCCTAAGTTTTACTAAAATGGGATCTAAAAACTTTTTTGTTGAAATCATTGATAGCTAACCTACCTGGAGACTCTCCTCCCACATCTGAAGCTTGAGCTGAATCTACTGAAGAAACCACACTGACAGCATGGGCAGATAGATTTGGAGTAAGTGTGGAAGGCAAGGCTGCTGATTTTTTTGTTGCGATGATGACACTTCTGTAATAAACATATAAAAATACAGATCACTTGAGTTAATTATGTGAATTACAAAATAAAAATCAGAAAACTAGCTTTTTATAAGTTAATTTCCTATTTCTATTTTTTTTAATACTTTGTTTTAGTTGTAGTTGGACACAATACCTTTATTTGATTTTTATGTGGTGCCAAGGATCAAACCCAGCACCTGCATGTGCTAGGCGAGCAGCTCTACCACTGAGCCACAACCCCAGGCCCCCTTTCTACTTTCTAGTAGTACAATATAGACTATTCTCCCAATATGAACTCTCTTCATTGCTTCTTATTTATCTGTTTTTCATATTTATCTTCATATTTATCTGTTTTCAATATTTTTTTAGAACTTAGACAATATCCTATGGAAATACAAGAATGCACTTTAACAAATTTACTATACAGGATTTTTTAAATTTATGATCATCTTTAATTATCTAATACATAAAATATAACCAAAAATATATTTTAAAAAGCAATTTTGGCACTTAAGTAGAAAATTAACTTTTTCTTAAACCTGCAAATAAAATCTGAAAACTCAAAATGTTTCTCTAAGAATTTTAAAGCCCTGCTAACTTAAAATCATAAAACCTTAGCAATGTTATAACGAATTCCTAACATGTATATAACTCACGTTTTTAAACCCAAAGACTTGGGGGTTTAATATGTCTTTTGATAATCTTCTATTGAAAAACAGTGCACAAGTAAAAAAAAAAAAAACTAAATGGAAAAATATCAAATAATCGAAGTTGTTCATCTTGCGTAGTATTCAAACACAGATATTTATGATATACCAATTTCAATTAAAGTGTAATACTTTATATGAAAAGAGTAAGTAAAAGACCTTGTTAGACATAACTTAAAAAGCATTTTTAATTGAAGTTAGCTCCATAAACATGCAAAAACCTAGTTAATGAGGTAAAAAGGACAGCTGATATATAATGCACTCCCACAGCAGTGCTTACTTTTAATTACCTGGTGTTAACCATAAGCCTAAAGTCTTCAACATTCAATTTATTTAATCACATCTTTTGTTGACAATACTATAACTGCAAGCTGCAAGTATTCCCTTAATAGCTTTAAAGTACTCAGTTTCTAAACAAAGTTAAGTTCTTGATCCCAATGAATGCATTCAAAAGTAGAAATTATGTAATTTTGGTATTTTAAAAATACATGTTGTTGTTATTTCAAAAAGAGATAACACAAAGCAAAATAGGTTCCGTTTTACTTCAGTGACTATCATGTGAGGGCAAACAGTGTTGCCAATTAAATCAACTTCTCTTGTGCTAGGCATGGCTTATTCAATGTACTTGGGGGTAGCTGGTGTCACATCATTATAAGGGTGACTGCCAATGTTAACTATACACTAAAAAATAGAAGCAACAGCCACCTGAGCCCCCTATCCAAAATGGTGTGTTTAAATCACAGCAGCTTATATCAGATGAAGATTATTGACTTAAGGGGGAGTAGATATGACCTCAGGGCATGTGTGTATGCACACACGCACGTGCTCCTCTGTATATATGTGTGATGGTGGTACATTCCAAAAAAATGTTTATTCCTTCTCTAGACATAAATTTACAAACCCATTATTTTGGAGAAGCAAAAAAGAAATATGAAGAATTCACTGTCACTTTTCTTCACAAAAGACAGAACAATCACAATCTAATTTACTACTCATACAGCATATAGGTACTGATAGACACAACAGAAAATATTCAGAATACTGAAGTTGCTTTTACTATGATTAAAATTTTGGACATTTACCTCCCCAGCAGCCAAACAATTTCACTCCCAAGAAAACCCAAATCCACAGAAACATACAATCATGTTCAGAAATGCTTTATTCATAATAGCCAAAAAATGGATATAGCCCAAATGTTCTTTATGCAGGAAAACAAATTTTTAAGATGGTGATATACTATTCAAAAATAAAATGATACATACTACTGATAAATATAGCAACATAGAAGAATCAAAAGCATTATGCTGACTGAAGGAAGCCTCATACTAAAGAACACATACTTTATGATTCCCTTTACAAGAAGTTCTAGAACAGACAAAAGTGATCTATAATAGGAAAAAGGTCAAATAATAGTAGCCTCTGGGGACAGGGAAGGGTTATTTGGGAAAGGGGAATTTTTAGGAATGATGATACCATGATGAGTGTTTTGTGTTATACAAGTATATAAATTTGTCTGTGGCTTTCAGGCTGGGGGCTGTGGCTCAGTGTTTGCCTAGGGCATGACAGGCTCTGGATTCAAAGGGAAAGCCTTCATCATATGTAAATTTTACCTTAAAAACATATACTGAGAGCTGTTGTGACTCAGTGGTAGAGTGCTGGCCTAGCATGGGCCAGCACCACATAAACATAAATAAATAAGGGTACTGTGTCCAACTACAACTAAAAAATAATTTTTTAAAAAAGTACATTGATCTCTAAATATATATTTTAACACACTCAGTGTTTAAGAGTAAACGCATGTCTGAAACTCACTTGCAAATGCATCCAAAAAATAAGATTTATGGATGAATATATGGAAGGTTATATGCCAAAGCATATACAGCTAGAGCTGATTACAGAACTGCAATGATGGATCTGTGTGTGGTCACTGTTCAATTCTTTCTACATCTCTGTATATCAGACCATTTTCATACAAAATATTTGAAAACACATAAAAGTTTCCTACAGATGTTTCATAATATGAACAAATTCCTATTTGTCAGAGATGGTTAATTAAACAAACTAAAAGACCTGACAACTTCATTTCTGATCTGTTAGCCTACTTCTATTAATAACACTTCCAGTCATGGAAAATAACTTTTTTTTATATATTAGATACTTAATGCAAGTGTACTCGACCACTAAGCTATATCCCCAGTCCCCTTCCCCCCCCTGCTTTTTTTTTTTTTTTTTCGAGAGAGAGAGAGAGAGAGAGAGAGAGAGTGTGTGTGTGTGTGTGTGTGTGTGTGTGTGTCTCACTGAGTTGCTGAGGCCTGTTAGAGTCTGTAAACAAGTCTGGATGGCGCCTGGCATTTTGCCAAAGGGAGTGGTTTGTAAGGTGGCACCAGTGAGCCATTAAGTGTGGAGATTCCTTATTGGTTGACTGCTGTATCTAGTTTATGTTAATTAGATAAGCTGTGTGGAATGTACATGTACCCCTCCTGTCCTACAATAAACGGCTCCTACTCCTGCTGTATCAAGGTACACAAGTTGTTCGTCACCCCCCCACCCCCCACCCCACCCCACCCACCCCCGGTTATTTTGCTGCAGCCGGACTGTGGCAGAGGCCTACCTCAAACTGGCAATCCTCCTACCTGCCTCAGCCTCCAAAATGGCTAGGATTAAAGGTGTGTGCCAATGCAGCTGGACAAAAATACCTATTATTTTATTCAGTTCAGAAAATATTGTCCAATATCTTGTACACATTATTAGGAATAATACATCTGAAGTATGGCATCCTAGATGCATTTGTATTTAACCCAGCATTACTCAAACATTTGAGCACCAATGCTCTGATGGTTACTAAGCATGCTGTATCATTCCACAGCTTCTTCCCATGGTAGGTACCATTCCTTTGCCAAGATGCCTTGCTTTTTTCCTACTTGCCCCAAAATTTCCTTCTCACTTTTCAAAACCTTGCTCTCCCCAGGCCTACCAAGTCATAGTTCATAATTTACTATTCATTATGCTCCAATAAAATCCTATCATGCAATGTAAAGCTGAAATTGATAACAATGATTATAATTTAATTAAGACAAACAATATGCCAGGGATTATAATTCTCAAAATGATACTAAGGCATCTATTACTTTCATTTTTAAAACTTAAAAAGTAAAGCTCAATAAGGTAAAGTAACTTGCCAAAATAAGTTGAACTGTCTACAAATCTACATTTGTCTAAAACCAGAGCCTCCGATTTGAACTATTTCCTCATACCAACCTTTTCAAATGTTTTGCTTTTATTAGGAGATCATAGTTATAAATAATAGTGAGTTCTTTATTATGATATTTATATATGTACATAATGTATTCGATTTCATTCCTCTTCCCTTGCCTCCTTCCCTCAAGTCATACTGACTTTTTAAAAAAGTTAACTATTGAGATATAATTTACCTATCATACAATTCACTCAAAGTGTACAATCAGAAAGCTTTTACTATGAGGCTAGGGTTGTGGCCCAGTTATAGAGCTCTCACCCAGCACATGTGAGGCACTGAGTTTGATTCTCAACACCACATAAAAATAAATGAATAAAATAAAGGTATTATGTCCATCTACAACTAAAAAGATGTTTTAAATGTTTTTAAAAGGTTCTACCATGGTCACAAAATTTTCCAACCATCATAGTAATTATACTAACATTTAAAAATAATTCTGTTTAAATGCTTATAATCATCTATAAGCATTGGTAACAATCAAATCAAAATATAACATTATGCATGTAGTACCATTAAATTACCAAAAAAAATCTGTTCAAAATTGGGGAAAAAAATGTATTCTTTACTCTCATTATAATTACTATACAAAAGAGAAATAAAATTAAGGAATTTTTAGATTCACTGATTGATTCAAATCACTTTTAAGGAAGTAACATAATACTGCTTCAGCTTTGGATCACACAAAAATAAAGAAAATTCGAAGTCACAATTATCAAATTTGGGAATATTTTCATAATTATTATAAAATCACCATGCAAAAGACTAAAATCTTCAACTGAAGGTATCTTTAACCCATCATGTTACCTAGAATGTTAAGTGTAAATCTAAAATAGTAAAGCATGCCCTACACTTTAAATAATACAGAAATTTAAGCAAACCACTACTTTGCATAAATCATGAAAGAATGAAGCAGCTCACATTATCTTTTGATAAAATGCTTTAAAAACACAAAGAAAATGCAATATGCATTACACCAAATCTTGAGAGCCTATCAGGCATTGTGGTAGGGATATTTTCAGTACTATTCTCAAGCTAAAGTTTAAAAGTGGTTTGGTTTGTTTGGGTTGGGTTGGTTGGGTTGGGTTTGGGCTTTGGGCTTTGGGGTTGGGTTTTTGTACTGGGGATGGAGCCTAGGGGCACTCTACTACTGAGTTACATCCTCAGCTGTTTTTATAAATCCTTTTAGTAAAGCTTTTGAGACAGGGTTTCGATAAATTGCCAAGGCTGGCCTGATATGCAGCTACCCAAGCAGTTGGGATTATGAGCATGCAAAATGGCATCCAGTTAAGTTTGTTGGTTTGGGGGTTTTTGATGCTGGGTGAACCTAGGGCCTTGTTCATGTTAAGCAGGCACTCTACCTCTGAGCTATACCCCTAGCCTTCAAATTTCTATCGAAGAGACAAACTGAAATCCTTTTTTTATGTTTGAGAAACAAATAAGTATCTGAAGTTTTAATAACACCACCAATTTTAACAAAAAGTACTTACAATTTTTTGTCATAAAGACTGTGGAAAACATATAACTAGTTAAGGAAACTGGTTTTCCAAACTATTAATTTAAAATTACATATAAAAGGATAAAATTTCACTTAAGTGTTTTTCTTCAGTAACTTTAATAAATACTTAATATTCGTGAGCACTGTGCTAAGAACACACACAAATTATTTCATTTATGTTTATGACAACCTGGAAAGTTAGTGCTATATATTATAATCCCCACTGTACAGATGAAAAGAAGGTATTCCTAAGACACTTCAAACTGCAAGTAAAAATACTGCTGATTTTTTAAACCTAAACCTTTTTTTTTTTTTTAAGTTTCTTTTACCTATTAACAGCAGGCAAGTAGCAACAGTATGTTCTAGATAACTAAGGATCAGAAGTCCCATTTCTGAATTATGTCAGCCTTAAATACCACAAACCTTCACATAAATGCTATTTTATTAAACATGCAAATAGTCCACTAAAGGAGAAAAGAGCATTTTAGTCCAGCACTTTAGTCCCTAAGGATCTAGTTGAAAAGCCAGACCAGCCCTTGAACTTTATCAAGATAAATCCCTGGCATGCACTAATCTCTAGAGAGGATCTTCAAATTAGATAAGAGCAAGAATTTTGGCATGGGAATAACACAAACACCTTTCCTTTCACAAGGGCCCACAACCTGGCAGCCTTTCAGCAAGGTTTCACTCATGAAGCTGTTACTCTAAACTTTCCAGCTATTGCTTGGAAGTTGATAATTCTTAAGATATGAGGAGAGTTGTGATTTCTGACACAGCATTCCTGAGATAAATACATGATCAGAGGGATGCTTTGAAATTCCCAAAGATATTCCACTGACCAATGGCTGCATGAAAGTGTTTCAAAAGGTGTCTCTTGCTAAGAAAAGTAAGGGATAAAACAGCAGTATGCTCCCCATCCAACAGTATTTTAAATGCATACCAGATATATGTTAAGTTCCATACAGCATCCTGGAAAATGCGGTAACCAAAATACTTTCTCTCGTTTTGTTTTAGTAAAACCCCTTGAAATGTATTCCTAAACATGGTTTCCTAAATGAGTTCAAAATTTCACTTAAAGCATCAGGAAGACATAGAAATTAATTTCAACACCATTTAAAATAAAAGCAATGATAAATTTGGCATGTCAAATTTTCCATATGTACTTATGAGGCATATATAAATATATCTTTTTTAAAAAATCATAAGCCCCCAATTTTTGTACTCTGATTCTTTCATTTAAAAATATACCTTTGGGGGCTGGGTTATGGCTCAAAAGTAGAGCGTTCGCCTAGCACATGTGAGGCACTGGGTTCGATCCTCAGCACAACATAAAAATAAACAAATAAAATAAAGGTATTGTGTCCAACTACAACTAAAAAATAAATGTTTAAAAAAATATATCTTTGGACTGGGGATGTGGCTCAAGCGGTAGTGCGCTCGCCTGGCATGCGTGTGGCCCGGGTTCGATCCTCAGCACCACATACAAACAAAGATGTTGTGTCTGCCGAAAACCAAAAAGTAAATAAATAAATATTTAAAAATTCTCTCTC